TTTTTTTTGTTTGCAAAACGCACGTCCAGCTCAGATAATGGGGTGAATGCGATATCGCACAAAATTATTAGGGGTTCTAATTTTTGCACACAACATCCCAACACTCGGTTAATGAAGAGCGGAATAACAAGTGTTAAATCCCAAACCATGTTGTTACTGCAATTGCACCGGATCGGACTCGCTGAAAAGGGAAACAAAGGCATTCCCTGCATGAAAAACTTGCCACTCCTCATCGAAGAAAGTTAGATCTCACGAGACACTACCCTGGTCCCGCTTTGCTGATCACATTTGATTGAAAAGTAGAAAAGGGAAAACCAAGGCTGGAAGCGGGGTTACGAAGCTCAAAAGAATTGTCAATGCGAAAAAATTTTTAAACACCTAAAGCCAAGTGCAAGAATCTGTAGTATAAATACCCGGCTCAACAACCAATCAAAAGCCTCTCAGCATGGTTTATATTTCTTAAAAGTTTTAAGTAAAAGTTTTAAGTAGCATTAGTAATTGAATTTTATTCCAAGTGACGCTAGTAATCGTAGTGTAAGTTAGTTGTCGTATTGTACTGTAAGTAGTGTAAGCATTTGTATTTTTAGTAGCGTAAGTAATGTATGTACTGCATTGTAAGTAATATAAGTAGTGTAAGCCTTTGCATTGTAAGTGACGGAATTAATTAAATTGAATACGAAGTATTATAAATAATGTAAGTATATCTATTAGTCTTGTAAGTAGCGTAGCTGAATAAGTATTGTAATCAGTGTGTGTAACAATGCATAATAATAAAAAAAAAAATTTTTTCTAAAACTACATGTAACCAAAGTGCACTATTCTCGAATTCATCGCATTTTTTGTTTAGTTGTTCTTTAGTCTTCTTACTTGTGCTTTCTCTTCTCTTCCTTTTATCTTTCTTTTGATCCCTTTTTCTCAGATCTTTATTTTCCTCTCTTGCCATGTCGTTTTGTTTCTCCTCGTTGCGCTACATGTTCTTTTCTTTAGTTTGGGTTATTTTCTATATGCAATATTTCTCACACTATTTACCTGACATTATTTGTTTTCAGTTGTCGATAACGTCTATGGGTTCAGTTTTGTTACTGAGCCGAGCAAAACAACTGTGGTATCTACTGGATCTAACCAAACATTCACTTGGCAGTTGAATCTCACTGATCAAGAGAAATTAAAACAGTTGAAAGTTCAGTTTGGTCCTTGGGATAAAGACCTCGACAGTGCCGCAGGCTTTTACCTTATGACATTCGTTCAAGAACCGTCCGCAAATGGAAGTGTGCTGAAGACAAATCACTCAATCTTGAAACGTTTACAATGGGTGGGAGACTTGAAACGTGATTATTTTGTGGCTTTTAAACTCTTCGATACAAAACTTAGTGATTCTGGAGATTATGGGATCAGGTTCCGAGTAGAAAGGAAGGAGTATGCTGTAACGTCTTCGAGTTGGTTTACACTCACTGTACAGGTAAAACAAGATTTATCTCTCTCTAGCAAGTTAGTAAATAGTTATTAATATTCCATTGTATTAGTTCTATTTAGGTTTTTTAATTTTTTATTCTTTTATTTTTTAATATCCTTTTGTATTATTTTTATTAAGATATTTATAGTTGGTGTGATATCTTACGATTTTTACCGACTTAACTAAATGTAGATGTAGATGTAGATGTAGTCTGCTTTAATTCTGATGTGTAGGTAACTGCAAGGGAAGGCTCTAACACGATACTTTGTGATCTATATCAAGAACATTTAGCGAGATTCAGGCTTGCAGTGAAATTTTCCATCAACAACATTAATAGTAAAACAATGCTGTGTTCACAGCTTACAAGGATAATGAATGACACTGTAAATTGGACGCAAGGCAAAATAACAACATGACTTACTGTTCTTGTTTGTTTGTTTTCCGTTATTTGTTCAGGATCCACCTCTGTTGCCAACCAAGCCGCCAGGTGAGACATTTTGTTTTCAGTAACCTTATTTATTAGATGCAAACACACCATGTGCTGCCGTATTATGATTTCATGGGGGCCTGGAACTAACCCGATAAGCCGATAAGCCGCTAAAAATTTCATGCAGATATTTTCCCGTACTTGCGAAAAGCTTTATAAAACAAAACACTATACGAAACAGATTTCCATCTCACAAAAATAAGAGAGGAATAGATTAACTATTTTAATATGGCGGAATCCTTAAAGCGACAAATTCGTTATCATTAATTCATTCAGAATCATATCACTTTCTTGCTATTTGCTCACAGTTAAGTCTATCTCATTCTTACGGACACAAAAATAAGTTCATTTACAAATTGTCCATTCAAACGTTTACGAATACGATGGAAGTTGCTAGAGTTTAGTAAACGAGGCTATCACCTCATGGTCCAAATATCAAATATTTATAACAAAGTCTCAATGTAACAAGCGTTCTCATTGGTTTAAACAACATGCCTTAAAGCGCGGAGTTCAAGAATGTTCACGCCATCATCTGCTGGGTTGAAAAAATTCGGAAGAATTTCTGAAC